TGTTTTGTACTTGACAGAAGAAATTCAAATATTATGATATTATAATAAAAATGTGTGGCTGGGGGAGGGGAGAAGGGTTAGGTACAAAAGAACAAAGAGGAACGAGTGACTTGAGGAAGGAGAGCCCCAGGGCCCCACGACCTCAGTGGCCTCCTGGGTTGAGCTGCTTGGACGAGGCTGATCAGGGAGGAATGCTCGCTGCTGTTGATTTAGGTTGGCGTTTCCTCAAGGACAGATTGCCGCACTAGACATCTGGGTTCTGTGACTGAGGCCAGGAGTTGACTCTGGGGTTGCTCAGCCCGATCCAAGAGGAGGAGCAATCTGGAAAACTGACCAGGACCTTCAAATGGAGTGGGAGGGGCTTCGTGCTGACCGGCGCGACTGGCTCACATGGGATCTGAGAAAGATCAAAATCAGGCAATGCCGCAATCCCTTGATTTATTTAATTCTTTTCTGGTTTTTCTTGGCTCTACTCCAGGGGAATACGGAGAGAACGGTCTGGCAATACCACTTTCGGACCTGGCCTGACCACGGCGTGCCCAGTGACCCCGGGGGTGTGCTGGACTTCCTGGAGGAGGTGCACCATAAGCAGGAGAGCATCATGGATGCGGGGCCCGTGGTGGTGCACTGCAGGTGACCAGCCCTCCCACCCTCGTCCACAGCCTGTCTCAGCTCCTAACGCCCAGGGCTTTTTTAACCTACCCACCCCCAGCTGTCTAACCGTGGGAAAAATTTAATCTCTTTTTGAGGCATAAACTGTGTTAAGGAACACTTTGACCCCAAAGTATATTTCTTGTAGATCCTACAGGACTGCTGGGTACTGAGGATGGTGGGACAGGGGTGGGGAACACAGTCTTTATTCTCAAGGAGCTCCTAGTCTGGTAATGTTTGCTTGGTTTTCTTTTTTAATAGGGTAATTTAGGGTTCATTTCTTTGTGATTCTATTTTACCAAGAAATGACATATATTTCCCCCCAACAATATACTTTTTTGCTTCAAAAGGTTAGGACCGCTGCTCACCCAGGCTTCTGGAAGCCAGTCCTGTGGCCTCTGCCCCAGAGTTTGCAGGCTTCTGGTGCCTGAGTTCGGGCTTCATGGTTATTCTGGGGAAAGCTTGGTTACCTAAATCTCATTCATGTGTTGGGCAAGTAGATGTGTGTGAAACTTTACTCAATTTTTTAAAAGCTCTGGGGCTAATGTTTTTCACACACAACTCACATTTGATCCTCACAACAACCCTATAAGGCAGGGGTCCTCAAACTTTTTAAACAGGGGGCAGGCTTCTGGTGCCTGAGTTCGGGCTTCATGGTTATTCTGGGGAAAGCTTGGTTACCTAAATCTCATTCATGTGTTGGGCAAGTAGATGTGTGTGAAACTTCACTCAATTTTTTAAAAGCTCTGGGGCTAATGTTTTTCACACACAACTCACATTAGTTTGAGGACCCCTGCAAGGTATGTACTGTTATCCCCATTTCACAGATGAGGAAACAGGATCAGGGACGTTAAGAGACTTTGCCCAGGCGCATTGTGCTGGAGAAGCTGGGCTCCAAGTGCAGGTTGGACTCACTCCAAAGCCCTGTGCTCTTAGCAAATATATTTCCCAATATAAATAGACAATCTTATAAATACTCCCAAGAGCAGATATTGGTTCTGTTCATATTAATAGCGTGGTTTTGAGTATAAAACTTCCGTGAATGACTTCATTGTCATTGCTTCTTGTCCTCTGCCCACAGCGCTGGAATTGGCCGGACAGGGACGTTCATTGTGATCGATATCCTTATTGACATCATCAGAGAGAAAGGTAGGTCAACTGGAGGGCAAGAGGCTACAGTTCCTGTTTTTAGTTTATGGACAGAAAGTGCTAGTGAAAATAGCCTGGGGAAGAAAATTTGAATGTTAAAAATTTTCACAGAAATCTGGGCTGAAGACTCCAACTTTCAATACATTTGCCAGAGAACAGAAGTGATGCTGTTTGAGCATTTGGCATAAAATGAAGCCCAGGATCTGCGGATCCCACTACTGTGATCTTTTGTTGAATATGCAGTGGTGGTCTCTACCCAGCCACCTACTTACTCTTTGCTGACGGAGTGGAGTTGGAAAGTGGGGGAACCCTACCTCTGACACGTTATCATGTAGTCGTCCGGGATCATTGGTATTGATCAGAGGCCAGTGCTGTAGCCCTTGGAACGTGTTTGGTCAGAACATTAAAGACTAGATGTGCTTTAGGTCTGAGCCTGCTAAACGTGGGGCATTAACCTCTTGATCCTGGCTCTGCATTTTCTCCTGATGCTTCGTGTGCTTGCTTTGTAGGTGTCGACTGTGACATTGATGTTCCCAAAACGATTCAGATGGTGCGATCTCAGAGGTCAGGGATGGTCCAGACAGAAGCACAGTACCGATTCATCTATATGGCCGTCCAGCATTATATCGAAACACTACAACGCAGGATTGAAGAAGAACAGGTACCAAGCCTGGACAGGCTGGCACTCGGACTTTCATTTTCTTTTCTGGGCAGCTGGCAAATGCTCTCCTTTTTTTAAAAATATATTTTTTATTGATTTCAGAGAGGAAGGGAGAGGGGGAGAGAGATAGAAACATCAATGATGAGAGAGAATCATTGATCGGCTGCCTCCTGCATGCCCCCTGCTGGGGATTGAGCCCGCAACCCAGGCATGTGCCCTTGATTGGAATTGAACCTGGGACCTTTCAGTCCACAGGCTGATGCTCTATCCATTGAGCCAAACCGGCCAGGGCAAATGCTCTCCTTTTGATCAGGACAGGCTCTGATAGGAGACATTTAAAAAAAAAAGTTTTTGTTGATTTTAGGGAGGAGAGAGAAACATTGATCAGCTGCCTCCTGCACACCCCCTACATGCCCAGGAATTGAACCGGTGACCTTTTGGTGCATGGGACGATGCTCCACCAACTGAGCCACACCGGCCAGGGCAGAAGACTGTCTTTATTTGGGAATGGGAAACGATTCCCCCAACCAGGAAGGGCTTCTCTGAAAACTGTTCCCTACTTCATGGCTCTGATTTTTCAGTCTGGAGGAGCTTGGGGAGGGGCCGCATGCTACCCTCCTGGCCTGGCAGCTTGGGGAAGTGCCACATAGGAAGGGGACGGTTTTCCCCAGCTCACATGGCATGCTTAGAACTTAAAGTGTCGATGTTTCCAGCCTGTTCCAGTTTAATCCAGACCATATTTATCCTGATTCCATCTCTTAAATGAATGCTTCACTCTTGATAGCATACGGTGGTTTGAACCACTAATTTGGTCGAGTTGGAATCGGTGAAATTTCAGTTTTAATAAGCATGCATAATGAAGAAGAATGTGGCGCTGGAGCCTTTCCATTTGAAGCTATTCATAACAGACACAAAGCTGAGTTAATTAGGAATGAGCTGAGACGAGGGAAATGAGGAGACTGCTCTTTTGGGGAGCTATGCTTGTCTCCCTCCCCTCCCCCACCCCAGCCCCGTTGCTATGCTCAAAATAGGAACTAAGCTCTTTTCAAAATGGGACCTGCCACCTTTACTGAACAGTTTCTAGCCTAGCAGCACAAAGAATGGTCAGCCAGAGGCAACTAATTAGTTTGGTCGGTTCTCAGTTCACACCGAAAGACTCACTAGATTGTTTCATTGTAGAAACACATCTTCAGAGACAGTGTATGTATAGAAGCGTAGGGTCAAATCATTAACAAGCTACTGGTTTTGAACTTCCGTGCTTTCAATCTGTGGTATTGTAAGTGCTATGAAATATGTAGATTGTTACTATAGGCTATTGTATATTTATCTTCCAGTTACACTTAATTTGGGCCAGGAAGGGTTAAAGCATAAAGTGGCTCAAAATGAAGGATTCCTAAACACAGAGGAAGTTCATCATTGTGGGTACAAAGTGGAAATTTTGGAAATGTCTTAAAGCACATAATGTACTCTTGGTGGGAGAAGCTTGGAAAAGCTCTCAATATTTCATTCAGAGGCTTTGGTTTTTATCCTTGCTTTGGAGAATTTAGGGACTTCCCTTCCCAGCTTTTTTAAAAAAATTATATTTTTATTGATTTCAGAGAGGAAGGGAGAGGAAGAGAGAGATAGAAACATCAATGATAAGAGAGAATCATTGATCTGCTGCCTCCTGCACACTCCACACTGGGGATCAAGCCTGCAACCCGGGCATGTGCCCTGACCAGGAATTGAACCATGACCTCCTGGTTCATAGGTTGACACTCAGTCACTGAGCCACACCGGCCGGGCTTGAGTTTTTATAAGTGGTTCTTCTCACATTCTGCCATTTTGAAGTAGAGTTCTTTGTTAACTTCCATTCACAGTGTTAAATTTTTAAACAGCATGTATGATTCCCTCTACTCAGTGTTTCTCTCTCTCTCTCTCTCTCTGAAATGCCTTTTTGGCTTTTTTCTTCCCTTAAAAAAGTCATATCCTTATACATGCAATCTTCACCTTACAGAAAAGCAAGAGGAAAGGTCACGAGTATACAAATATTAAATATTCCCTCACGGACCAGGCAGCTGGAGATCAGAGCCCCCTCCCGCCTTGCACCCCAACACCATCCTGTGCGGAGTAAGTAGTAATGAAGGAAACTCTTTTCACCTGAACATAATTCTATAGACAAGCTTAAAAACTACAAGTCTTGACTGGCTTCAGCTGTTGGGTCTGGGCTGGGCTCTTGAGGCCTAGGTTCTGCCCTTGGGGACTGGCTTTGGCTATTGGGGTTCTAGGTTGGGTCGTAGGGGCTAGTTCAGCCATGGGCAAACTACGGCCCGCGGGCCGGATCCGGCCCGTTTGAAATGAATAAAACTAAAAAAAAAAAGACCGTACCCTTTTATGTAATGATGTTTACTTTGAATTTATATTAGTTCACACAAACACTCCATCCATGCTTTTGTTCCGGCCCTCCGGTCCAGTTTAAGAACCCATTGTGGCCCTCGAGTCAAAAAGTTTGCCCACCCCTGGGCTAGCTTCAGCTCTTCAGCCCTTTGGGACTTAGATTTGGCTCTTAGTTCTCGGCTGGCCTATTCAGGGTAGACTAGGTTCTTTGGAGCTAGGCTCCGCCCTCTGGGACTGTCTTTGGCTATTTGTGACTGGGTTGGGGTCTTAGGGGCTCGGCTGGCTCTTCAGAACTAGTGTCAGCCATTTTGGGACTAGATTGGGCTCCTAGGCCTTGGCTGGTCTATTCCGGACTAGGTCCATTACAATCAGATTGAGCCGGCCATGGGGAAGCCCCGGTCCCCACAAGACGGCCTTAGAGGAAAGGACCCTTAAGTGAGCACACGTGGCCTGGGAGCCCGAGGTGGAAAGGGCTGCTGACTCTCCAGGAGGAGGTGCCTGTGGAAGTCACGGGGACACACTGAGGCTGGCTCCCTGGGGTCTGCTGGGAGAAGGGGTATTGCTTAGGGGCGAGGCTGGGCTCTTCTGGTCCAGGCTGGGCTCTTGGGGCTAGGCTCTACAAAAAAAAACCCCTAAAAATTAAAAAGTACCAACCACCTACAAGTCTTTGTAGCACACATCTTTCATTGAATTGTTGGCCGGCCGATTTGTGAGTATATCAGTGGCTGCCTGAATTTGAATTTACCTGAACTGAAGTCTGATCACACACAAGTAGGATTACATGGGGTTGTGAGTATATCGAGTTGTGGTTCTTTTAGAACAGTGGTTCCCAAACTTATTTGGCCTACCGCCCCCTTTCCAGAAAAAATATTACTCAGCGCCCCCTGGAAATTAATTTTTTTAAAATTTTAATAGCAAAAACAGAAAGATATATGTATTAATGTTTCTACCTTTTTCGTAAAATATAGTAAAGAAAGGTGTAAATTAGAAACATTGAAGTTTGAAATTATGAAACTATTTATTGAACTCAGAATAGAAAGGTAATACAAAAAAAGTTAAAACAAATGCACCTGTGGCCATCACCGCCCCCCTGGATCGCTGCAGCGCCCACCAGGGGGCGGTAGCGCCCACTTTGGGAATCACTGTTTTAGAAGAACCTCATTCTTCTTTTGATGGCATGGGATTTGTTGCAGAGGTGGACAGCACCCCCTTTGGTTTATTAAGAGTGTTTACTAAGTAAAAGTAAGTTAATTCACTACTAATGTGTCAACTCAATCCATAGTCAACAGAAGTCTGCTTGGTGTTTAAACCAGGGGCCAGCAACTACAGCCCCCAGGCCAAATCCTGGCTGTGGCCTGTTTGAGTACAGTTCTCGAATGGGTTTTAAAGGGTTATTAACACGCACATGCACATGCACATGCACATGCACCAAGAATAATATATGACAGAGACTGCTTATGGCTTGCAGAGACTAAATTATTTACCCTGGTTCTTTATAGAAAAACTTTGCCAACTCCGTGTTTAAACAAACACGATAGGAAAACATAGGTTAAATTGATTATGTGAATGGCAGTTGTAATTATTATTTTCTATATATTCTAGCCATTCTCTGGTATAACATTTGCTTTTTCCCATTTAAGGGTTTTATTTCTATACGCTTCTGATGTGGATTTTTAAACCCCTGCTGACTTTAATACTCTCTATAAACATTTAAAATGGCATAGAAGAGGCTTGTATTTATATTTGCTTTCTATTTAATGTTGAAATGAAATTACATAGCAAAAATATGCTCTCCACCATGCTGTCTCTTCGCTCTAGCTGCTTTTTTCTTTCCTACGGACTGACAGGGAAAGTTGGTATTTTAAATCGCCATCTGTAATAATTTGCAGTGGAACCAGCAGGTCTGGACTGAGTCCTTGCCAGGGAGCTTTCCCCCATGTTGGCCCAACAGAATCAGCTCTGACGACTCCCTTGTCACCAATGCCTGCCTGTGACATAAACAGTTTCTCTCTCTCTCTGTTCTCGTCATTCCCTCGTAGGGCACACACCCAGGACATCCCGACCCTCTCCTTGTTTTGTCTCCACACCCCTGGTTGGCACCCACAGCTGCTTGATTCCTCGCTCTCTGGGACTGCTCTGCTCTCCCCTCCCTGCTCAGCAGACAGAGTTGGGGCTCTCATGCATTGGCCTCCATCCCAAGGCCCTAACCACCCTCTCACCTCCCACTGAGCTTCATGTTCAATGTTCCCCTTTCTGTAACCAGATTCCGGCCTGACTGCTCTTACACTTTCCCATCTTGGAACTCTTGCCCATTCAGATCCTTCTGATTGAAGTGAGAACCCTTCCTTCCTTCCTTCCTTCCTTCCTTCCTTCCTTCCTTTCTCTCTTTCTTTCTCTCTTTCTCTCTCCCCCTCTCTCCCCCTCTCTCTCCTCTTCCCCCCTCCCTCTCTCTCTGGTGCATGAATTTGTGCACATTGAAAGGAAATTAATTAGAAGAAATATTTTAACATCGCTATTTGCCTTTTCTCTATAATAGAAGTGTCAACCAAATTCATGATCGATAATGACAGATCGAAACACATGCGTGCGATTGGCCCCAGCGAGAGCTTTATATGTACAGTGGGGCCTTGACTTACGAGTTTAATTCGTTCTGAGACCGAGCTCGTTAAGGAGCTCGTTAACTCAAATTACTCTATCAACTCAATGCAAAAAATCGGCCGAGAGACAGCTGGTATCTCAAAAAACTCGTTAGTCGGGATACTCGTAAGTCAAGGCCTCACTGTATTGTGCATGTGCGAGTCAACTTAGCCTTTATATGTATAGAATAAACTTGCTTAATTAGACCTGCTTTCTGATGTAGCTAAACTTTTCCATCCCAGTGAAGCACCCCAACTTCTCTTTCTGGTAATTGTCAGCAACCCAGCAGTAAATATGAACACAAAGCAGATTATTATAGGTCACACAGGAAGAACAAAGGGTAAAATATTTAACTGCAGCAGTGTTTGACTATATTCTGTGCAGTGAGAAAATCTGAAGTCATTTTCAAGGTCCACCATTTCTTCTTTTCAGTCGGGTCAAATTTCTAAGCTTTGTAAATCTCCATTTTCCGGCTAATGAAAAGAAAATAGGAATCCATGAGTCTCCTACCTACCTACTCCAGGACTTCTGTGAGGCTCAAATGAGATGAGGCATGGGGAAAATGCTTCACTGACATTTGGTTACAGTGTGAAATGTTTCCACCTGGCTATAAAGCAAGCCGTGTTCCTGGGCTGAAGAAACTGCAGGGAGGCTAGTTGCTAGGGAGAGGAAGCTGGGTGTTGCTACGTGATGTCATTACCTGGATGGACACTTACATGTTAGCCTTTTATATGTATAGATTTATTTGTAATCCTCACCTGAGGGTATTTTTCCATTGACTTTTAGGGAGAGTGAAAGAGAGGCAAAGACAGAGAGAAACATAAATGGGAGAGAAACACATCGGTTGGTTGCCTCCTGCATGAGCCCCAACCAGGGGCCAGGCTGGGAAGGAGCCTGCAACTGAGGTACATGCCCTTGACCGGGATCAAACCCAGGACCCTTTGGTTGAACAGGCCGATGCTCTATCCACTGAGCCAAACCGGCTAGGGCGAGAACCATTCCTTCCCATGTGTACATGCCCTGCCCTCCTTCAAGGTCTAACTCAGAGTCCTCATTACACAGGCCTCCCTTGCTCTGCCCGCCTGGAAAACAATTCACTTTCCTCCAAGCCCCTGAGAGCAGAGGGGCTCGAGGCTCGTATTTCACTTTAATTTCACAGTTGCTTTGCTGTATATTTATGTCTTTTATCCTGTTCTAGAATGCCGGTTCCAGGGGCAGGAACTATATCCTCACTGTAGCTGGTCCCCAAAGAATATACTGTGTGCCTTACCAATGTCATGTAAGCTTAAACCACATGGTCTGCATTTCTGTTAATGTCTCTTTTCTTTTGAGGATGAGAGAAGATAATGCTCGAGTCTATGAGAACGTGGGTCTGATGCAGCAGCAGAAGAGCTTCAGATGAGCAAACCCGCTGAAACTTCAGCACAGACATAGGTAGGAAACGGCAGTGCTGTTGGTTCATTATTTTTGCCTTCCCGCCTTTTAAAAAAAATTTTTTTTTATTGATTTCAGAGAGGAAGGGAGAGGAAGGGAGAGGGGGATTGAGTCCACAACCCGGGCATGTGTTCTGACCAGGAATTGAACTGTGACCTTCTGGTTCATAGATGGATACTCAACCATTGAGCCACACCGGCTGGGCATCCCTGAACTTCTTTTTTCCAAGCTGGATTTATTTTAGAGTTCATTAAGCATTAAAAGCAAATGCAGAATTAATTCTGAGAAGGGCAAGGTTAGCATTTATTGTAGATAAATAGTTGATATTGTGATGGGCACTGGTTGATACTGGTTAGTCCAGGCTGTGCAGGAGATGATCTGTAGGATCTGGGAAGCGGGGGACACAGCACGGGATGGTTGGAGTCAGGATGTTTCAGTTCTCATCCCAGGAGGCCTCTGACAGGCTGTGTGACACAGGGCACTGGACAGCCAGAGCCTCCGACTGGCTCCACTGCACGTCCCTTCAGCTCTGTTGCTGGAAATTCATCTCCCTTGTCCATCTCCACCCTGTCAATCACCTTTTCAGACAGTGACCCATGTGCGCTGTATGTTTTAATGATAAGTTAGAAACTCATAGTTTTAGTATTTCATGTTGAAATTCTCATTTCAATGAGCAGTATATTTAAAAAGCTTTAAATCTTCTGTTAAGTGGTTTAATGCCTTGCTGGACTTTTAGATGCATGCTCCTTCAGAATTCTCATTTATTTCTTCTCAGAGGTGGGCTTCACCCTCTCCATGAAAAGATCAAGAACAGATGCAAGAAAGTTTATGTGAAGAATGAACTTGAACCTCGAAGGCTTGCGTTGTGGTCGACTCCCTTTTGATGAGCAGAATCTGAAACCATTTAAAGACCACTCCGTTCTAACTCAACACCACCCGATTTCCAATTGCTCATTTCCTCAGATAAGCAATCATCTCTACAGTGTAGACAGTGTTATATTTTATAGAGTTTTATTTTAAATTGAGGAAGCAGTTAAATTGTGCTCTGTACTTTGCAGATGGTGGTGATTCGAATCCTAGTTATTGGCATTTTTCTTTCTTTTTATAACCCTAACAAATTTAATTTTCCCCCCTCTTTGGGGGGGGTAATGGGGCACTTGTTAGAGGAAAAAGTGGGGAAATTAAATGACAACATCCTGTAGAAATGAGAACAATTTTATTTATCATCATTTGTCCAGTAGTGGGTAATTCATTTTGATGGCCTCTTTTTTGGGGGGCTAAATGATAATTAGGCCAGTGCCCCAGACTTTCAGAACTTGACTCTCTTCCTTTGTATTGCCATTAAAAAATCATGGGGAAAATCCTGGGAATTTAGGATCAAGGTGTGCTTTTTCTTAGCAGATAAACAATGACCATTCAGCCTACTGTGGTGGGGAAATGTTTGCCATATATATGTGTGTGTGTGTGTGTGTGTGTGTGTGTTTCATTTGAGTATTGTCTTGTATTTTGAAAAAAATGCATCTGTGGATAACCAGTGTTTTGGTTTTCAATTGTTGCTGACAAACCACCCAAAACTTAGTGGCTTAAAAATGTCTATTTGTTCCTGTCTACTCTTCAGTCTGATGGGGCTCAGCATCTTGCTGGTGTCGCTTGCTGGTGTTTCTCTTGCTGGTCGGCAGGTTGGCTGAGGCGCTGGGTGGCTGGGCCCCTCTCTGTACACGCGGTCCTCGGGTCTCATTCTCCACGCGTCTCTCCATGTGGCCTCGACAGCTCAGAGCTCCGTGGCAGCTCAGAGCTCCCAAGAGTGTAAGGCAGTAGTGGCCAGGCCTTCTTACGACTTAACCGCAGAACTGTCCAGCATCACTTCTACTGCCCTCTGTTGATTAGAGCAAGTCACAGGCCCGACCCAGATTCAGGAAAAGGGGACTCCACCAGGGCATGAAGTGGAGGTGTAGTTGATTGGGGGTCCCCAGTGTAACTGTCAGAACCAGAACCGAGGAACAAAACTACTGTTAGTAGAAGTAGGAGCTGCTAGTGAGTGACCTTGGGAAGCTGCAGTGGCATGTGTAAGCTGGAAGAGCGGGCCTTCAGACAGAGAGGGCCTTCCAGAAGCTTCCTGCACCAGTTCTGCGAGCCCTGAGCATCTTTTCTGAATCATCACTTCTGGTCTTGTAAGGACGGATGTGTCTAGGGGGCAGAGCATTTGAAAGCACCATCCCATCACCGTGGCCTCTGCAGAGGGAGGTTAGTAGGGGCTCTCTTCTTGCTACTGGTATCATTCAGGCCTCCATGCATGTGTGCAGTCAGGCTGCCGGGAGCAGGAGCATCCTAACCAGGCTGCGTGGCAGATTGAATCAGCAGTAGGATTTGCTAACGTGCTACCTGAAGTGCCTTCTCTCAAAAACATCCCTCTTTGCCCCATGTGTTGAGTCATTGTTCGGTGACTGTGTCTCAATGAAAGTCTCACTGGTTGACTCTGAAGAAAAGAAAATGCTGCTGCAGCATTGCCATTTAGGCATGGTTTCCTTTCTGGCATCCTCCTAACTTTTGCTCCTGAGAGGAAGGACTTGACCCAGCCCTGGTTGTAGTTCCCTCCTGAGGTCTTGGCTTCCCTTGAAACCTTGAGATCCGTTGGGCCGAGTGATGGCTGCCATTTTCACAGGCAAAATGTGTAGTGTTCCTCCTATATCACCCCCTTCCCTGATCCATCGACCTTAGAATTGCTTCAGAACACAAGTGTGGCCTGAAAGTGATCACCTTACGAGGAATGTAAATGACTACTGTCTCCTTGTCAAGCCTGCAGAGAGATTCAAGTTCAGATTGCAACAAGGACCTTGAATCCTGTTCTTTTTATCGCATTGTCACATTGAATGGTTCTCCTTTTTTGCCTCGATTTTATGGAAATGTTTTGACTTTGTTTATTGCCATTTTAATTCTGTATGTCTAGGTTTCTCTCTCTTTCTTCTTCTCATTACAACAGTCCCTTTAGCATTCTTGTAATGCTGGGTTGGTGGTGATGTATTTCTTTAGCCTTTTTGTTGTCCGAGAAGCTCTTTATTTGACTGTCTATTTTTTTTTAATTTAAATTCTTTATTGTTTAAAGTATTACATATGTCTCCATTTTCCCCCATTGACCTGTCCCTGGCTGCTCCCACTCCCCAGTACATGCCCTCACCCCCTACTGTCTGTGTCCATTGGTTATGCTTATATGCATGCATACAAGTCCTTTGGTTGATCTCTTACCTTTCCCCCTCCCACCCTCCTCTGCCTTCCCTCTGAGGATGGATGGTCTGTTTGATGCTACTATGTCTGTGGATCTATTTTTGTTCATCTGTTTATGTTGTTCATTATATTCCATAAATGAGTGAGATCACATGATATTTATCTTTCTCCAACTGGCTTATTTCGCTTAGCATAATGCTCACCAGGTCCATCCATGCTGTTGCGAATGGTAAGAGTGCTTTCTTTTTTTACAGCTGTGTAGTATTCCATTGTGTAGATGTACCACAGTTTTTTAATCCACTCATCTGCTGATGGGCACTTAGGCGGTTTCCAAATCTTAGCTATGTAAATTGTGCTGCTATCAACATAGGGGTGCATATATTCTTTCTAATTGGTGTTTCTGATTTCTTCTCTAGAAGTGGGATTAATGGGTCAAATGGGAGTTCCATTTTTAATTTTTTGAGGAAACTCCATACTGTTCTCCAGAGTGGCTGCACCAGTCTGCATTCCCACCAGCAGTGCACAAGGGATCCTTTTTCTCCACATCCTTGCCAGCACTTGTCATTTGTTGATTTGTTGATGATAGTCATTCTGACAGGTGTGAGATGGTACCTCAATGTCATTTCAATTTGCATCTCTCAGATGATTAGTGACTTTCAGCATGTTTTCATATGTTTCTTGGCCTTTTGTATGTCCACTTTCGAAAAGTGTCTATTTAGATCCTTTGCCCATTTTTTGATTGGATTGTTTATCTTCCTTTTGTTAAGTTGTATGAGTTCCCTATACATTTTGGAGATTAAACCCTTATCGGATATAACATTGGCGAATATGTTCTCTCATGTAGTGGGCTCTCTTTTTGTTTTGTTGTGACCGTCTATGTTGAATGATAGCCTTGCTGGATATAGTAATCTTGGTTTCAGATCTTTGTTTTCCATTACCTTGAGTACTTCATGCTATTTCCTTCTAGCCCATAGAGTTTCTGATGAGAAATCAGGTGTCAGCCTTATGGGAACTCCTTTGTAGATAATAGTTTGCTTTTCTCTTGCTGCTTTTACGATTCTCTCTTTGTCTTTAATTTTTGGCATATTAATTATGATGTGTCTGGGTGTAGACTTATTTGGGTTCTTCTGGCTTGGGGTTCTTTGTGCCTCCTGTACTTGTGTGACCTTTTCTTTTACCAGGTTAGGGAAGTTTTCTGCCATTATTTCTTCAAACACGTTCTCTATCCCTTTTTCCCTTTCTGCCTCTTCTGGCACACCTGCTATTCAAATGTTGTTTTGTTTCATGTTGTCCCATAGCTCCCTTAAGTTATCATCCTGTTTTTTAATTGTTTTTCCTTTTGGTTCTCTGATTGAGTGATTTTTTTCAACCCTGTCTTCTAATTCACTGATTTGGTCCTCAGCTCCCCCTAATCTGCTGTGTATTCCTTCCAATATGTTTTGTATTTGTGCTAAATCATTCTTTATTTTACACTGTTCTTTTTTCATAGTTACTATATCTTTTCTCATGCTGTTGAGCACTTTTACCATCATTATTCTGAAGTCTGTTTCAGATAAATTTTTTTTTTTAAATCTCCATTTCATATATATCTTCTTCTGGAAAATTCTCTTGTTCTTTCATTTGTGGGTTGTTTCTTTGTTTCCTCATTTTGGCTGCCTGTTTGGGTTTGTGACTAGGTATTAGGTAGATCTGCTACACCTCTCAATCTCTAGTGCAGGACCGTGTCAAATGCTGTTTCTGACGAATTAGATCAAGCAAAGACTCAAAACCTCCAGAGACCGCCTCTGGCTACAGACTGATAGGATTCCTCTTGATCTGCCCTCAGGCAATTGTACACAGGGCAAGAGTTTTTTTTCAACAGGGTGGGGTAATTGTTGCTGCCTGGAGGCTAATTGTTATTCTCAGTCTTGTTAGGGACAAGGTGTTTTCCAATAGGGTGGGTCAGCTGTCTTCCCCCCAGGCAATGCGGCCTGTATAGCAATTGTCTGTGTGAGAAAGATGACCTTTGTAGCATGAGGGAATGGTTCAGCACAGGAAACTGAGGTGTCTGCTTTCTGAGCTCTAACCCCAGAGCCCTGGATCCTGGCTTCTGCTCACCCAGCTCCAGTCCACTCTGCTGTTCCTCTGTCAGAGCACAAGATGGGTGGCTCCACAGGGAATGTTATTTGTTGGCCCTTTAAGAGGGTGCCTGAATTTCCAACCATCTCTGCCTAGCAGACAGCTACCCCACTGCTTTCACAGCCATATATTATGTGGGTACCCTTCTCAGTTCTGGTGCTCTCTGCTGGGGGGCCTACCTTGGGAATTAGACCCCAGAGTTCTCAGTGGCAACCCCCCACAGCTGAGATATCTCCGGAACTTCAGCTGCTCTCTGTGGGGGCCCAGCCAGCCCTTTTGCGCCTCTGCCCCTCTTACCAGCCTCTATGCAGTCTCCACTTTTGGTCCTTGGTTATCAGGGTTCTCTCCAGCAAGTCTTCCATTGATTATTCAGTAAGTTCTTCTGTATTTTAGTTGTAATTCCAGTTTGGACCTGGGAGCATGTCCGTGAAGCATCCACTTACTCCACCGCTATTTTTAAATCTCCATGTTTTTGACTCTGGACTTTGGGGGCAAAGTCTCTCACCAGCATACAAGGGTCTGATTGTATAAATGTATCCGCTACATTAAGTCTCTGCCTGTAGCTTCCGATCGGTGGTTTTTGCCCTTGGAACGGAAACACCGGATCTTGGCTCGCTCTCTTCTGATATAGGACATTGATTTCATTTAGATTTCCCTCCACCATGTCAGTAAACTATCATGTTAGGTCAACTTTTGCCAGACAAGATTATGACAGTCCGGAGGTGCTAAGTTTTACTGTGTTTGATAAAAGGGGATTATTGCAGGTTCTCAGATTTCTTTCTGTGGGATGGAATCAGGCAAGTGAAGATGTGGGGAGTTCAGAGTGCAGGTTAAAAATAAAATAGTGGAAATGGAAGTTCCAAAGAGGTGGTTTCTAGGATGTCAAAGGGCCCAGGGCCACAGCAGTCAGTAATATTTGAATCAGGTGTGAGAGAGACATGGCTTCGGTCAGCTTCGGGGTCGCTGGTAGACATAAAATTTGCACAATATCCCATAGCTGGTTGAGTATTTTAAAATTATAAGCATAGGATTTTA